ATTTGGATGCAGGGATGCTATAATTTTATTCCATGCCTTCTTCTCTAAAGCATCAGTACAACAAAAAGTAGTACATAGAATAAAGCAAGAGAAGGAAGCAGGCTTTCTCTGGTTGTATCAAGCAGCTGCTTAAAATCAATGTATTTTCCTCTAAGTGCTTCGACCCACTTCTTAGTCCTTCAAAACAGAGAGGAAGTAGTGGCTTTCTTCACAGGGATCAAATTCAGTGAGTGCGTGTTACAAGACACAGCAGTCAGCTGATGTGTTTCACTCCAGATAGGGATGCATCCTGCTGGTGCTACCTGTACCACTAACAAAACGCTTTGGGGTTTCTCGTACCAGAGACTGTGCTGATAGAGAAGTGCTGACGCACGTGTGCGATGTCAAGCACACGAGAGGTTCCAGTGAAACCTCCAGGGCTGCTGAAAGCCATCGACCTCAGTGAAACACTCAAGTGCTCATTGCTGGCATGATTATCTCGGGGACATGGGAATGGGAGGAATCATGTTGGTCAATTGGTCTCACTGTCACAAACAAATAGCTCATGCTGCAGGTATTCCTTTAATAACCCCATCCAATTCTGCTATAAAAAGTGTTGTGGAATGCTTCATGCAACTTCTGTAGAAAGGTCTTTAATCCCAGAATCTCATTTCTCTGGTCTTTCAGATTTTTTTCTTAATCTATGATCTATTTTTATTTACAACCAGTTTACACTAATTTCATCTTACTGTCTATAATTCTTGTCATCAAAATCCTTTTATTCCTCCCATGGATTATTACCCGTCTTTGTTTGTATTAGTGATACTTCCCAGCTTTGTGTCATCTCCAGATTTTGTTGCAGTGCTGTTTTGTTTTTATTTTTGTTTTTGTAAAGACTACTGAAGAGTATGTGAAATAAAATGAACTCTGCCAATATTTGTTTAAGAATTCCATGAATAGTTTCCTGCCACAGGCTCCATACCTATCAGATGATTTTTTAATTAAAAAAGTATAAATTTTCCCAGCTGAACTATGATTAATTCAGCTAATTAGAAATTGATATTTCTGTGTTGCACCTTACAAAATACTTTACTGGAACTCTGATGAGTTCTTCTACAGTAATGTGTAGTTCAACTGTCTTTTTAAAGAAAGGCATAACATTAGCCAGGAATAATAACTCTTCACCAAGTTATATTGAGTGTGATACAATTTGGATATTCGTTAGAAACTTAAGTTATCCCTTTCCTGTAGAACTTTCCTATAGAAACCTTTCAAAAAGGTGAAATAAGGCAAATAGGTCTGTAATTTTCTTAGAAATGTTTAATTTCTTCTGTTTTTTGTTTGTTTGTTTGTTATGTGTGTTTGTGTGTGTGTGCGCGCGCGCTGATAATATGTATTATCTTCCAGTGTTTTGGAAAAGCCCTGCATCATGCTAGATTTAGTAGTTTCATTAGAAATGATTCTTGGATAACCTCCAATTTAATACAGCATTTTTTTTTTAAATCAGAATTCAGCATTCTGTCTTTGAGCCATCACTTCACCAAAGAGTTTATAGACTGTTCTACTCTACAAACAGAAGTGGGTTGAGAAAGAAAGATAAAGAAAGATAAGGGAAATATTAACTCTTAACCAGTATTGTTAATTCATGACAGATGGCAGCTGAAATGAAACAGGTAGAACTGTATCTTTGTAGATACATATAATGGTAATATAGCATCTATCTAACAATTTATATACATTAAGCATCTGTATTTTTAAAAATTCGTTTTTTCTCTTTATTCTTGCAGTAAAAATGCTTGTTTAGAGGAAGGAAAAATGTTGCTTACTTTTAGAACTTACTGCACCTCTGATCTGAAAAGGATTTTTGTGGTTTCTAATGTTTTGTTTTAATCAGAAATCAATTTCCAGCTACCCTTTAATGTGATACCTTATCTGTCCCACACTTCTGCATTACTTAATTTTGTATTCCTGGGAGGATTTCTTTCATTCTGCCAAGAGAAAAGTTAGCTTGCACTTATTAGGAGATTTTAATTTCTTCTCTGTTGCTAAATTTAAGAAAATATTTATACAATTATTTAGAAGTAATGGTAAGGTTTATTTTTTTTAATTGGTCCATAAAAGATACAATTGGGAAATCATGACAGTAGCCCTAATCTTGGAATTTTGATATGGGTATTTTGCAAGGATAATAAACCGAAGCTTAAGAGAAGAAAATGATCCTGTTTAAGTATATTGTTGATGAATTTCAACTAGTTACATTCTTCTCTTAAGCTGAGCAATTACACATAGCTATTCTAACATTTATCTAGACATTTCAAATGTGGATCATTATATATATATATAATTTGTACTGTTTTAAACCTGAAGTTATACAGTGTCTTGATATGCACTTATTGTGTTATGCACTTGTCTTGATCTGTTACAGTTTAGAAATGACTATTTCTGGGAACCTTTCAATTCTCAGATGAAAAGCAAATAAATATCACTGTAATTCCTTTGTGTAGTATTGCATGTTGATTTTAAAGTTAGTTGGATCGCTTAGCTATGCTTTCCATTGACTAATGTGGTTTTGCATAGTGCTACACACTGTGTCTGTTGAGTGGCCAGAATGAGAATCAAATGACTTTCCTTTCGTAATTGACAATGGTCTTCAGTCACAAAGGCAGGAGGTGTATCTCATCCTGAATTGTACAACCTACATGACAAATGCAATGGCCAGTGAAGGAATCTCAACAAGAGTTGAAGGTGGTGTCCATTAATATATATGATACCTTCAAATAGCTGCTTTCCAATATAACTAGGTCTCCCAAAGGAAATGTCTAGTACTGCTGTGTTGTTGCAGGGTAGAGGCAGGTATTTTCAAAAAGCTGCTGAGGGAGATCTTGTCTACATAACCAGACAACTAAACATTGCCAAAACCAAAATAAAAGACTCCTCAAAGACCCTTTTCTGTAATAACCTTTTCTGTTGTGGATAGGAGTTGTGTGGGCAGAACTGGGTATGAAGTTTCTGTGCAAGAGAATTGAAGATCAGATCTCAGTTTAAGACTACCTAGACATTTGGACATCCCTGATCTTATATTCCTCTATCTGTTTATTTTTCATCATTCTTTCTTCAGCAGCACCTCTTAAGCATCGAGCTCTCCTTCTGCTTAACACAGTGACACTTGTGGCAGACCAGTGCTGCAAGGCAAAGCTGTACCACTCTGCCCCGGCAGAGACCGTTGAGTTCACTGGCACTAACTTCAGCTCTTCCCAATGGATTTGCCAAGTTCCCAGTACTTCCTGCTCTACTTTCTGGAGTTGTACACTGTGTAATCCAAAGATACCACTGCAGCTGATTTCCAGTTGTGTTTTCATACCTGGATTCTATAATGACATCACTCTGAAAAAATGCTCTGGGAAAATGAAGTTGTGTTCCAGTGTTGAGATGTTGTTGTACTGCCTTATCATTAACTTCAACTGTTTACAGCAATATTTACTTAAGCTTTATATAACTTAAAGTACATTATCTTTATTATTAGCTTCTAATCACAAAGGCACCTGTGAATTCACTAGAAAGAAAGAGAACTGATTTCCTTGCAGAAAACCACATGCATTTTCATTTCATGAAAAGAGAAGAGAAAGGAATGAAATAAAAAGAGTTCTCTAATATTGAGAACACTGTATCTGGAGTTGTGACAACACCATTGGACGTAGGACACTCTTTAGCATTCCATCCTAGGGTGCGAACCCATGTAAGGGGCAAGGCATATCTTAAAAGGTGCCAACAGCTGGATGAACCTAAGGGAATGTTATAGATACTACTTTCTCTTGCATGTTTTTGAGTTATACATCTTTACTGAAAGACAATTCTTAATGCTTTTTATCTTTAATCATTGTCTTATCTTATCTGTAATCTCTAAGCTTTATTCTTATGGCATTATTAAAGTTTTAGAAAGTGTTTGTAGGCTTAAGAGTAATAAGAAATCTCTGACTACTAGTAATCTGCATATTAGTTTCTGGAACTTGAAACAATTTCCTAACCAATATTTGATCAAAAAATACTGTGATTTGTTATTGTTAATCACAAGGACTGACTGTACATTTCTTTTGTCAAAATAAGCAGGGGAAAAAAATAAATAAATCTGTGCTCAGCATGATGCTTCTGGAAAAATTCATATTTAATTTACCTTTTGAATTGAATAGAATCTGAAAAATAACAATAACCAATTTTTACTGCTTAATTGAAATCAATGAACCAGAACCTTAGCAGTTTTTCTTTGCTATTTTTCACTAATATCATTGAGGTTACAGTAACTGACAGTGATTTGTCATCTGGCTCCATCATTTACACCAAAAACTAATTTACAGAATTGTACAGATGAAAGAAGAAAGAAAGTTGGTAATATTTTATGTTGAAAATTATGTAAGGTATATGATTTTTTTTTAAGCTTATATATTCCATTTTCAAAATCTGTATGCTTTACTCAGTACATTGGTTATTGTTGAAAAGTAATATTTTTGTGTGGTATTAATTTTTTGTCATGCACTTCTTGTTCTGAGAATTTCCCTTCACCTACCTTTAGTTTTTTGAACAAAACCTCTTTTCATTTGGACACTGGTAGTAACAGCGAGCTGTTTTTTTAAAATTGCTTTGCCGTGTTCACTGGACCAAATTCATTACAAATTGAATTGCCTAGTTCTGCAGTCAGTTCAATTTCTAGATATTTTGGCTCATCTTATCTTTAAGAAAAGCATGCTATTCAGAGTACTTACAAGGTGTTCTATCTGGATTAACTGAGCACTTATTAAAAGTAGATATGCACAATGAAGAAATCAACAAAGAACAAGGAGTTTGCTTTAAAGCCTTGATACTTCTGGTGGAAGACTGTTTTCAAAGCCAGGTTCACTTCTACTCATGTAAATTTCTTCAACATGTATAAGTATGTTTTAACTGCTCATGGAGGTAGTTAAACTATAAGTAGTCACAGGACTATTTGTATTATTCATAATCTTTGTCTTATTTAAACTATCTTCCAGATTTACTGGCCTGCAGCAAAAGAAAAGTTGGAATTATGCAAACTAGCTGGGAAAGATGCCCATGTAAGTACAGTCTCCATATTTTTGTTACTGCTGGTAATATTGCACATCTGTATATTTGTTTCTAAATGCATTAAATCTGTTTGTAAGTTTTTGAGGTTTTGTTTTGTTTTGTTTTCCTGAACTAATTGGAAAAAAAAAGGGGGGAGAGTCATTTAAAAATCATGATGTCTTTAAATGTTAATGCTTCTAGAAAAATATTCACTATTAAAAACAGCAAGTGTTTTAGCCGTCCTTGTATATAATGAAGTCAATTGATAGATGAATGGACGTTCTTCTGACTTTTACTGTGGGAAATATTTTTCTTGTGGAAATCCTTTCCTTCTCATTGAACTGCTCTTTTCTTGGAAATTATCCTGAATGTAACTCCATTATAATTGATTAACGAAACAGAGTAGCAACGGACTTTACAAATTAACTTAATTTGCAGACAACTGAGGTTAAGGTTAAAATAAAATCTCAGACCTAATAGCTTTGAAACCACAAATCTTAAAGAAATCTCTGTGTATATAAGGCACAAGCATATATACAATAAAACTTTCATATCTTCTTTACATGGCGCAGATTACATCGTGTCTAGAGTCCACCATAAATGTAAACATTTATTGGATGTATAATAAAATTTCTTCCTTTCCTCTCCACAAATCTTGTGTTTTCTCTTGAGCTGTCTGTTACTAAGGTAGAGCCCAGCTCAAAATACTCTCTCTCCTCTTGTCTCAGGAATTTAAACTTTTTATCCTAGCTTATTGCCACTATTATCTTTACAGCAGACAAGGGCTAAACAACACCTCTTCTGAGCACTGGGAAAGTTCTGATACTGGTCTCTATGGAGGATTTATACTGATATATTTCTGTACCTAAACAAAAGGAAAAAGACCAGAGGAAGGAATATTTGTTTTTGGCATACATTATAACTTTCTCCTTTTTGAATCCTGCACTGCTTCTGCAGTTTGCCTCTCACTTAGGTGCAGGTTGGTAGCTTGTGTATATCCTCCCAAATACCTTGTCGTATCTGTTTATATTTCTTCAATTTTGGGGAAGCCTACAACAGGCCTTCATAATCAACCAGTGCAACACCCTTACAGCATATGGCAGCCATCTGGACTGCTTACTCACTACAGCCAAGTCCACTTAAAGCCAGGACTAGCTTCAGCTTCCCAAAGGATTCAAATAAAAGTGACCAGCTAGATGTGGTTGGTGCAGAGAGAGGTCACTCACACAAAACATCCCACTGGAAGAATGCTGAAGTCCTTCTGATTGCCACAGTTTTCTATCATGTAATCTTTGGTGTTAAAGCTTGTGCAGAACCATTGATCAGGAGCAAAGGCAGAAGGATCTATAGGCAGACAAATTTGGTGGCTATCTGACCTCAGTTGACTAGAAATATGTCTACAGCATAAGCTGAGCAGACGTCATCCAATCTGCTCTGTTACCACATAGCTCCTCATGGCTGTAAGCATTACAAAAGAAGGGCTTGCAAGTCTGATTGATGAGCTGCCTGATACACAGCCACTGTGAAGTTTTAACCATCACAACTTTGAACTGTTTAGTAAACAATCACTACTACAGTAGTTTTAAGTTTAAATACAAGGATCCTAAGGCTAAAATGTAGCACAAGACTGTGAAAGTGAAAAATAAACATGAAAATTAACATTTCTCTCTTTTGTCTTTGCAACAGACAGAATGTGCCAATTTTATTAGAGTCCTTCAGCCCTACAACCGAACACATGTTTATGTCTGTGGCACAGGAGCATTTCACCCCCTCTGTGGGTACATTGAACTTGGCACTCACAAAGAGGTAATTTAATTTTCTCACTACTCTAATACGTCAAGGAGTAACCTTTGTCTAGCATTCATTATAGATTGGGAAATACCATGCAAGTGTGTAAAAAATGAACTGACAGCAGCTTGCGTAAATAACAGAGTAAATGGTGGATTTTGAAGGTCAGACAGGAACTCGTGTTCTCACATTCGATATGTGCATATCGCTTTTGAACAAAGCACTTTCCTTGGTAAGGCTTAATACACAGAGTTCTTCAGAATGACACTTCCACATGATTAAGTAAGTGAGGAGCACATTTAACCCAGATGTCCTTCTTTCTTGTAAGTCATTTCCGCATATACTTTCTGCTTACATACACACACAGAGTTCAAGATGACATTAGTTGTTCTATCTTCTAATGTACACATATCTCCTGCTCCTCAGGGATGGCTTCCTATTCCTTGTGCACAAGAGTAATTCAGAGTTTGTAAATGGTCTCTAAGTCTAAGCTGAAGGGCAGCATCTCAGGCCTTTGCAGATGGTTTGCAGCCCTGTCGCTAAGTGCTGGGTGTCCTCGGTCACTAGTGTTGAATTCCTGCACTGAAGTTAGCAGCTGATTGGACTTCATTTGCTGGTGACAAAGAAATCTCCATCCTAAGTGGTAAATGTTTGAGATGTAACCCCCACAACAGAAGCATTTTGGTGTTGTGTCAAGCAGCCACTTAGTACACAAGTCTCTTTTTAACTCCTATACGTATAACACTTTAGTTATATTTATAACATTGGCTCTGCTCTTAGACAGTGTCTGATGACCTGTCTGGTTATTTGCCTGTAGTGCAGGCTTCCTGCACTGCTGTAGAAATAGCTTTCCCTTTTCTTTGTATCTAGGTGAAATTGTAGAATATAAAAAGTGAGTCGTAACTATATGTTATTAAATGCAGTAAGCTCAAGTATGTATGTATTGGATATATGCTGATGGACAAAATCGATGGCAAATGCTTTACAGAAAAGAAAAAAAAAGGGGGGGAGGGGGTGAAGGCAGAAGAGAGGGAGAGGGTAAAGGTTTTATTATTTATTTATTTATTGTCCTATGTGGGACCATGGCTGACCAGAGAATGCTGAAGTTACAGAGCTGCCTGAAATATGCATGATGGTACTCTTTCCCTAATAAGCTGTTAATTCTCCTGGTACTGTTTGGAACAGGCTGTACAGTTGGGCTTGCAAAGAAACAACTTAGTCTTCTTTGCTTCATTTCTTTGATTACTCCAGTTGAAACAACTGAAGCTTTACATCTCTTGTATCATTCTGATTCCTCAGCTCGAATGATTATGTCCACAGCTGAACTGAGCAGAACAACTCTCAGCAAGAGTGTAAGGTTCTGGTTTACCTCTCGGTCATTAGTGAGCTGTCTTATTCACTGTCCCATTGTAACTTCATTATGATGGTTGTTGGTTGTTCTCATCAGACATTATAAAATTATGGATTTGGCCTGATTGTTCAATCTGGCGGTCAGTCTAGACAAGGGGGTTTGTCTCAATTAGATATGACCAATTACCTTATGCGAGGAAATGAAAGAAGAAACCTTATATTGTATTTCCTAATCCCCTGTCTCCCAGTTCTGCCTGTTCTGCACTCAATGGTTGCTCAGCTGCAGCAGTGAGCTGTTCAGCGTTCATCACTACATACAACTTTCCTGCTGATGCGTCTCTTCTGCAACATCCTACTGAAACAGACTTTGAATAGCATCAGATATGTTTTCCCGTTCCTCCTAGAATTCCAAACAGCAATATAGCCACTGCCTGTCCAGATAAATGTGACATAGCAGGACAGTCCTTAGTCCACTCTTCTTGAAACACACTGACTTGAATTTGACAGGCAGCTGGAGAAGTCTCCTGGTTGTAGGAACTGAAGCCAGAAATCCTGTGTGGAAATTCAAAGCTGTCCTGTTGCAGATCTGTTATTTTAGATATTTTTAAGCTCTGATTTGTAAGAATGGATAATGAATGTTTGATAATTAGCAGCCTCTCTAGGAAGCTGTGGGATGCTTGGGAGAGCCAGAGCCTGAGATAGTCTCACAGGGCTTTGAAAGCAGGCAGCACCCTGCTGACCTCTGGAAGCTGCTGGAGGATCTGCCCAGTGCCCTGCTGGTTGCTGCCAATGCTGCAGAAGCAGACAGGAAAGGAGTGTGGATCAGGTGACTCAAAACCACAGCACACACTGCTTTTGAAGCCATACAAATCCTTTACAGGATCACACAATTAAAGGGGATTAAAGTCCTAGCCTCGCTAGTGCTGAAGTCACTGCCAAAACTTCTCTTGGCTGATGAAGAAGAGACTTGGCCCATCCGGTGCTCTTAGCCATACGTCTCCAAGGGACGCTCTTTTCTTTGAAATCTTTGTCCAGAATGAAAGCAAGAGGTTAACTGCGTGAATACGTGGTTGTGTCCATTAATTTGTGTGGTTGAAGTCTGGAGTGTTTGATAGTGATCTACAGAGTCCTCAGTCTCTTGAGTATTCCTGGACATAGGAACAAGCTTCTTGGTGTGTGTTATGCCACAAAGGTTTTCTGAGCAGATCAGGGCTGCATTTCTTAGAAGAAATGAGAATGGGACAATAATATCCTATTGTCAGCAAAACAATGCTCAGTTTTTAATTTAGTGTTGTCCTTGATGAATGCATTTAAGTAGCCTGATAATTTGGTTTACCTGATATCTCAGATGTTTGAGAGGATAACAATAGTTCTTGTCTAACTATTAAATTCTGCTTTATAGCAGCGAGAATTGCTGCAGGAAATTGAATTTATCTCCACTGATTGGAATTGATTTTTTTCCCTCTTAAGCAAGAACCTTAATTATTCAGTATTCCGGCCTCTTGTCTTCTGAGCCTATGGGGTTTAGAAGACATTTCGATGAAATAGCAATGTTTGGTTATTTATAGTCTGATGTATGCTTAGCATAAATTGAATAAATGTGTTGTGAAGTCTAATTCTATGTGAATCTCTTTGGGCATATTTAGATGTCATTTGCACTCTTCAGTTCTCTTGCAAGTCGAAGTTACAGAAACAATCCACTATAGAAACAAAGTCACTTCACCCTCTTTTACATAATGTTTTAAATCATAGATATTTCTTTTTAACTAACTTCAAAAGCTGTGCCTCTGCAGTAAACATTAAACCCAAACATTAAACATTAAATGATTTGATGCCTGAGTGCCAGTGGGATTCTGAATGCCACTTTCCATGGGAGAGTACATTAACAACACCTCAGCAGGAATTCTCCCTTCTCTAATAGCAACATTCTTAAAATAATCTCTCTGTACCTACTAAGACTTTACTCATTCTAATAACCAGTTTGTCTTCAGAAGGATACACTGTGGGTTTCAGTTACGTGTGCTTTTAGAAAACTGATGAAAGGAATATGTGAAAATGTCCACTTGGGCTGTTCCAAACTAGTAAAACTTCAAAGCAGTGCTTACAAAAATTGAATCAAAAAATGCAAAATTGACCACTGAAATCATAAGGAATGACTTTTAAGTAACTTATTTCCTTTATCTTCCTCTGTACCCTTGTTCCATCACCCAAGCATTGATGGCTGTATTTGGGAACTACAAGGAGGGATTTATTCTAATATCTCTTGTATCATTAGCCTTGTTAAAATAACAAAAGAGAGCATGTGCTGCTCCTATTTAAAGGGGCTGAACTGTGCCTGCCATGAACATTATTCAGCAGTCCCTGGAGAAATTTAGGAGTCAGCCAGAATCCCTTCTGGGTCTCCTGTTGCAACATAGTCTATCAGCACTTTCCTAAATAGATACTAGTGCCTTTTAAGCACAATTCAGCCTCTACTTTGAATTGAAATAAACAATGCATCTTTTTTTCTTCCTGAAAATCATATTTTTTGAAGATTTATTCTTCACTGTAGAGTAAGCAAGATACGTAAAAATGATGAGTGAAAAAAAAAAATCCAGATGTAAAACAGAAGTATGAACTGTAAACATCAACTCTAAGATGACAGCTGTGTGATATGATACACCTCCACTTAATCTGTTAGCAAAGCAGTTTGTCTGAGTGAGTTTTTCTCTGCAGCCACACCAGGATAATGAATATGTATTTATTCTCAGGAAACAATATTCAGGCTGGATACTCAGAACTTGGAGTCGGGCAGGTTGAAATGTCCTTTCGATCCTCAGCAGCCATTTGCATCAGTGATGGCAGGTAAGAAACCATCAGAGCAGTTACAGGGGTCAGAGGCTCAGCAGATGTCACCAGCAGAGCTGCTCTGACACCGCTTATGCTTCTGATGCTGGTTTGTGTGCTGGGACTTGGGGGAACCCTTTAGTCTGCTGACACCAAAAGTTGGAAACACATCAACAAAAGCAGAGAAACCTGAGTGAAGTGACTGTGAAGTCTCTGCCAGCTGAGCAGGGTTTCGTCCTCACCCAGTCATTTCTCCTTTAGCAACAAAAAAAGGCAAACCAACACATGGACAGACAAAGTTTCAAGTGCTTCTAGAGCTCTTTCTGCAATTATCAATATGTTCTGTCCTTTGAAGTCTGCTGACATCTGCTATTTCCATAAATACATTTTTGAGGCTTCTATTTACTTGAGTAGCCACTTCTGAAGCTGGAAGCCTAGGAACAAGATAGCGCAATCTGCCTGCTGCGTGCATCGCAGCACTGTGTGGTCTGACATTTGGTACGGAGGAATGTCAGCTTGACCTCCGGATTTCAAACCACTATAAGAGACACTTTTGTCATGGTTTGGTTCATAGCTTCGGACAATTTTAATTTAACTTGTCCATCAAGCCTATGAATACAAGATAAGAGTGAAGCACCATGACGTTTTCATTTACAACCAAAGAGCAGTGGTGACAATGCTTTGAAGTATTGGTCACTGTGTTATAAAAAGAATATGACTAATGTTCAGTCTTTCTTCTCTGATAATAAGATAGATGATTTGCGATTGTGACCCAACAGACGGGGCAGGACTTCCTTTATTAAAAACAATAGATTAAAGTCAGTGCTTATTCTTTTCAGGGACCCCTAGTACTACTTAATGACTGTGAAGTCTATTTTTAAAATGGAATTCTAGAAACTTTATTCTTTTCTTTTTTTTTTTTTTTTTTTGTCTTAATGCAGTGTAGCTCTGTGATTTATTATAGTGTTGGCTAATTCTAGTAGCACACTAGTGCATTGACTTCTCTATTAAGTCTTGCGAGCTGAAGAAGCTGCTGTGCTTTGCTAACTAAAACATAATCTTCAGTATGTAAGAATTTTCAGGCTAGATAAAATTGGTAATTGGGTTGTTTTAGCATACCTTCCTGTGCTATGCCTGATATCAAGTGCTTCACTATACTGTACAAGGAGCATTGTAAAGAGTTACAGGCCTGACCAGAGAATGTGTTCTTGACCTATCTTTGGATGATTACTTTATTTCCTAAAGTGCTAGGAGAGCAGTATAACTCATGGATAAGATACTGCACTGGGACTCAGGGGAGCTTAGTTCCCATCTCTGTACTGGCAAGAGGAATAGCTTTCTTAGTGTTTCTCTCCACCTGCTTTTATTTATCTGCAAAATAGCAATAAATATTATTTGCATCCTTCAGAAAGCATTTGTAATCAGGTATAAATATGAGCTTAATATTGTCGTATATTTCCATTCCTGTAAGTGGTTAAATGCAAGTGTTTTCATTCTTTGTAGAAATATCTAATCTGTCTTTGAATTCTACACAGCATTTTACCCCAAGTAAAATACAATACTATATCATATGCCATTGGAAAATCCAGGCTTTCTAACTGAAAAATCACCTGTTTGTCATCCATCTTCTGTTACAAACTGCCACTCACCAAAACCATTCTGGTAATAACTGGAACATGGACTGGGAGATATCAAAAGCCAAGAGAAGTGCTGAAAGCGCCTTGTCAGCAGAGCCTGGGCAAGGATGGGCATTTTCTGTTAGTCCTTTGGATTTATCGATCACTGAGTGCCTGTCAGTTAGCAAACACCAATTACTCTGCCCATTCTTCACTATGACAAATACTGTTCTGAACGCACTATTGTTCCTTTACAAAGGCGACATGCTGTCTGAGAGATGTGCTTTCCAGTACTGTCATGGAAATAATACATAAGTAACAGTAATAATGAAGCAAAAAGAAAGCTGACGGATCTTTTTTTGTGGGTCAGTGGTTGTGCGTTTGTTTCTTTTTTTGCTTAGTTTTGTTTTCTTTTTGTCTTATTTTTTAAGCGTGTTTACATCTTTTGCAAATGAAACCACACAATATTTATGATTTATATTGAATGTTATTTATTCGGAATTCACTCTCAACAAAGGGCTTCTCACTGAAATATCTTGTGAAATGTTTCCACTCACAACATCAGAAAATCTAGAAAAGTATTTTTATGTATCATGCAGAATTTTATATGATTATTATTTATAAATGTGAACCTTCTTTATTTTTTCAAACTGAAGAAATTTCTTCTTGCAAGCCATTAAAAAAAAAAAGCTCCCCTACCTGATAAATCTTGTTATTTTTAAAGAAAAAGAAAAAAAGAGAATTGTTGCAAAATGCACAATGCAGTTAATTTCACAACAATACCGTTTCTTTGCTTCTTTTTAGAAAGATACTGAGATTTCAAGAAAAGCAGAAAATATTGTGCAATTCTTACATATGTGTAGTTTTACAGTCCCAAAAAAGATGTCGGAAAAATAAATAGTAACTGCAGTTGTAGCAAACACCCTGTGCAGTATTATAAATACCATTTCTTTGTGAGACAGTTTCTGGCTGCCTCATTCAAGCAAGATGTCTCATTTATTTTAGTGGAACAACTCACTGTGTTAAAATGATCGTAATTTGGGTCTATAGCCATATTCTTACTATTAACATGCTACATAGTTGAGAAGAATTCCCCTAGTGCCTGAATTCCTCTTTGTGAATGAAGTGTTGGGCAGAGATCCCTGCTCCAGGAAATTGCCAAGCCATGAAGTTCCTATAGTGGAGCATCCATCAAATTCCCAGTTCAAGCCCAGGAGCAGCCAAGCCACGTGTGGTGGGACAAGGCTGGGACAAAGGCTAGCTTCAATCGGTAGGTGGTTGTGTCTGCATTACAGCCTGCAGGCTCATGGTCAGTGCTAATGAGCAAGATGCTTGGTTTAGGTATGCCATTATGTCCTTAGCTGTATCCTCATTAAGGCCTGGAGGGATTTGCTTTTCTGGTTGCCTAGAAGATCTGAAAATCAGACATGGACTCCTTAATTTCTCAGGGATACAATTACAAATACTATGTCCGTTCAAATGTAAGTAATTTCATAAAACCACAAATCCCAATAAAGTAACAAAAACACTTCAAAGTATTAAATTAGTTCATAGGCAAATTAGACACAGGTGTTGTTCACCCAACAAAATACAAAGTTTTAATTTGTTTACTTTATGTATGTGGAAACCTCATAGCTTTTTCATTTGCAGATGAGTATCTTTATGCTGGAACAGCTTCTGATTTCCTTGGCAAAGACACTGCTCTAACACGTTCCCTGGGCCCTTCTCACGACCACCATTACATCAGAACTGACATTTCTGAACATTACTGGCTTACTGGTAAGATCCCAAACATATGCTGTTGTCATTTGCATTGTCCCTGCTTCTCTGAAGTTAATAGCCCCTTTCTTAAATAAATATATACCCAGTAAGTATAAATATAGATATTGTATCATGGTAACTTTGGATTATGTAGGCTTTTTTGGAGAAAGCTCAGTGGAACAAAAATGCACTTGAGAAAAGTCAGAGGAGAAAATGCTAATTAAGGAAAGAGGAGGAAAGTAGGACCTAATAGTTCTTTCCGTCTTTAATCTAGACATCCGTATATAGTCCTGTAATTGGAATACTATCATGACTAAAATGCTTTCATTTCCAGTTTTGCTGGAATAATTTTTTTAAACTTTTTTTCCAATCACTTGTTTAAAACTGTTCCCTAAAGTATGTTGAAATGACAGACTGAAAGTTCAGTGTTTTTAGGTAGGAGGTTTTTTTTGTTTTTGTTTTTGTTTTTCCTTTATAGAGGGGAAAAATACTCTTTGTTGCTGTGAAGATCATTTTAAAACCACTACAGGCGCCCTAAAATAGCTTCCCAAACAAAATACTGCTTTTCCTTGCCCGTTAAAAACATTCTGAGCTAGTAAACCCTCTAAAAAACTGGCCGCATTTACACTCAGCTAGTCTCAAACCACACACAGAGTAACATGGAAAACTTCGCTCACAGGCTAACCCTGCTCAATTAAAGCATCCCCCTTTTAGCTGTCAGCTGTCTTTAAAGATGTGGCAACACTGGCCCTGTTTCAGGCTGCCTGTGTAACTATGGGTGCATTGTAAATCCAGGCCTGCTGACCACAGGGTTAAGTTCTCTTCCCAGCAGACAACTTCTGAAAGACACAATTTTGCCTTTTAACTCTTTGAGACCTCAACAAGAGGAAATGTTCTTATTATTTCGCTACTTTTTTATTCTTCCACCTAAGTTCTTGCCCTGTATTGCTGTCTAGTTGTGGCTCCGTAACTGCCAGATTTCTCCAGGTGGATGAGGAATAACAGAAAAGCCACTTCAAGTCATTTTACCTGTCCAAATAGATGTAGTCCTGTGGACTGATAAAAGATCGCACACTTCACTCTGCTAACTTTACTTACTTCCATCTCCTGTGCTCTTCAAGTGTATGGCTTAATATCTCTCTTGTCCCACCTCTCCTTTCTCCTCCCTCTCATTTCTGAATATTCCATAGAACAGAACTGATTTGTGTGCAGTATGGGTGAGCCAGCATGAGTCCATCCAGGAGGCAGTTGTCTCTAATAATTATATCTAACATCTGATTTTATCACTGGCTGCTTTCTGGTCTTTAGTATGGAAAGGCAGTTAGAGTAGCTGTTTTCCTAAGGGATGTTAAGATATCCCAGAAATAAAGATTTACTGGGAAGTGCTCATAAGGAGCATCTGGTGTTATCGTTAGTACAGATCCACCTCGATGAGCATTACAGCACAATGAAAGAGGGCTCAGTTCCCAGTCCAAAAGAACTTATAGTTTAAATATCCAGTTCCAAGCATTTCTTCATGCTATTAATGTTTCTTCATGAGCAGTTTGAGACCAGTACAAGAACATGGGATAAACAAAAGGACTGAGAACTATTTGTGTTTTAATTTGGAGGCTGAGGTGAAGGTATGCCTTTCTGATAGACTTTCTATTTTTCATTTCATATTTCAAAGAAGAGGAAAATTCAAGAGGGCGTACCACTTAGTGAGCAGTTAAGGCAAGCTAGTAACAGCAGACAAGGAGAAGGCTGGAGAAGGTATTCAACAACTTCTTTGCCTCAGTATTCACTAGTGACTGCTCTACACAGAGCCCTTGTGTGAATAGTTCAGAAGGTGGGATCTAGGGGAATGATGCCTCTCGCGTTGTAAGTCAAGATCAGGTTTGTGACTTCCTGAGGAACCTGAACATCCATAAATCAATGGGTCCTAATGAGATACATTTCAGAGTCCAGAGGGAATTGGCTGATCTAATTGCCAAGCCACTCTTGTTGATATTTGAAAAGTCCTGGCAGTCAGGTGAGGCCCCCGGTGATTGGATAAAAGATAGTATAGAACCCATTTTTGGGAAGGGTAGAAAGGATGACTGAGGGAACCAGCAACCTCTCAGACTCACCTGTGTTAGGGAAGATCATGGAGGAGATCCTTCTGGAAGCTACGCTAAGGCACATGAAAGAGAGGGAGAGGTAATGTGGGATAATTAGTGTGTCTTCACAAAGGGAAGGTTCTGCCTGACCAACCCTATTGTTTTCCATGATAGAGTAACTGCATCAGTGGTCAAAGAAAGCGCCACTGATGTCATCTATTTGGACTTCAGTAAGACCTTTAACATCATTCAGTAAGATCTCATAACATCCTTCTCTCCAAATTGAACATATCTGAATCTGATGGGTGGACTGTGTGATGGATGAGGAAGATCTGGTTGCAGGATCTTAACCAGAGAGTGATGGTCAATGGGTCAATGTCCAGATGGAGATCTGTGACAAGTGGTGTCCTTCAGGGGTCAGTACCGAGATCAGTGCTCTTTAACATCTTCATCAGCGACACTGACAGTGCAATTGAGTGTGCCTTCAGCAAATCTGTGGGTGGCACCAAGCTGTGGGGTGTGGTCAACATGCCCAAGAGACAAGATGACATTGGGAGAGACCTAGACAGGCTTGAGCAGTGCACCCAGGTGGCCGCATGAGGTTCAATAAATCCAAGTGCATGGTCTTGTGTCTGGGTCATGGCAACACCCACTATCTGTACAAGTTGGGGGATGTAAGAGTGGAGCACAGCCCTGCTGAGAAAGACTTTGAGGATGACAAGCTGGACATGAGCCAGCAGTGTGCCCTCACAGACCACAAAGCAACTGTATCTTGGGCTGCATCAAAAGAAGCCTGGCCAGCAGGGTGAGGGAGGTGATCCTGCCCCTCTGCTCTGTGCTGGTGAGGCCTCACCTGGAGTGCTGTGTCCAGATGGAGAGTTCTCAGTGCAGGAGAGATGTGGACCTGTTGGAGTGCACCCAGAGGAAGGCTACAAAAATGATCCCAGGGATGGAAAACCTCTTCTGTGAAGACAGGCTGAGAGAGCTGGGACTGTTCAGCCTGGAGAGGAGAAAACCTCAGGTGAAGCCTTTCAGTATCTAAAATGGAGCTATAAGAAGGAAAGGGGTAGACTCATTAGCAGGGTCCATTCTGATAAGACAAGGGGAAATTGTTTCAAAATAAAAGGAGAGAGACTTACACTGATGTAAAGAAAAAGTTTTATACAGTGATGGTGGTGAGACAGTGGAATAGGTTGCCTAGAGATGCGGTGAATCCTGTGTCCTTGGGGATTTTCAAGGTCAGGTTGGATCAGGCCCTGAGCAACCTGATTGAGCTGTGGATGTCCCCATTCATTGAAGGAGAGTTGGACTAGGTGACTTATAAAGGTACTTTTAACTGAAAAGATTTGATGATTCATTCTGTTTTCACTTAAAGTGATTGAATCTGTGACAGTTTTTTAAGGAGTGTAATATATTTTTATATCTAGGCTTGAAAAACAGCTTCATCGTATTAGATTGCAATGTCAAAATTATCCTGTGCTGAAGACCCCGTATATTCTTCAGGTGTAACCTGTTTCCAGCCATATAAAATCTACAACCACCCTCTGTCTAAAACTTCTTATACACAAACCATGCAGTGTTATACTACAAGGCATGGGTATAAATTGGATGCTTTTAATATTTTAAAATTGTCTTATTTGGAGAAAATGTTGAGTGCAATACTAAATGATGGGATCAGTTCTGCAGTAAGCCATAGGGCAGCCAGTACACTGCTAGTTTATTGTGTAGCATTACCAATTTCATACACTTTTTGCTTTCAGCTGGTATTGGTGTAAAGAAAATATTTACTTGATTTTGGTTTTAAAACCTTCACCTTATCTAAATCCCTTTTTCCCTAAAAATACCAACCATTGACCAAGCATATGTTAGACCTCCAGGAAAAGTTGTACATACTTGAGTAATTGTACAATTATAAATAAATTATTTCTAGGTATGACTCGTGTTTTACTTAGGATAAGGATATAATGTGTAAGTTGTTTTTTGTTTTTTGTTTTTTTTTTTTCCAATGAGCTGTGGAAGTTTTGCTATATTGCACCTTCATTTTTTAAAAGTTTTGTCTTTATTCTGTTTCTGGAAACAAGATTATTCTTTTCTGGGGGAAAGGAGGAAAAGACAAAGCACAAGGGAAAAATGTGTAGGATACCTCTCAGTTCCTTGCAGGGCATCTCTATCTTAACTAATTAAGACGTGTCTTAATCTCAATGACTGAATAGCCTCTCTACAAAGGAGAAAGGGAGGAAGGCAGCTAATCTTTCCCATGACTCATGGTTACGCAGCTCATACTCCTGCTCACGGTGGCCCTGAAGGATGCTGCCTCTGCTCAGATTTCATCACGCAGGGAGAATCTGTTGGCTGGAGAGCCTGTCCCAGATCCAGGGCACTGGGTGAGATGTGTGGGACTGGAGTCCTGCTCTGGAAGGCAAAGCCACCCACAGGAACTGCATGCCTGCCTCCAGCTGGGACAGCAGAGTACCAGACATACAGACATCCAGCTGCGCATTCCTCTCTCCTTGATAGGAAGCTAAAGTCATAGTTAGGATGAGTGTTCTTCTGCATGTGTTAATCTTTTTGGGGTTTTGGGGAGAAATTTGTTTGTTTGCTTGATTATTACTATTTTTCTTTAATTTTATTTCAACTGAACCAACTTTGTCAGGGATGGATACTTGCAGACAGTGTCTTCTTTATGTCCTGAGTGCTTTGGTGGGGATTCAGTTCACTGAACTTTACGAAGACAAAAGCTAGCATCCCATCTGAGCTCAGCCATTTCCGTTCTCTGCCTGCAATTTACAGACATAGGTGACAATCACTCCACCTACTGTAGGAATCTGTCCTAAAATAAGATTCTTTATTACCACATTCCTCCTTTTCCCTTTCTGTCCTTCCCTGAGAGAAGAGCTGGATGAGTTTAGGTTAGAAGGCTTATAGAGGGTTAAAGGAAAATGAGGTGAGCACTGTCCTTTGTGACTTACCATGCCCTGTATTTCTGGCAGCTCAGCTGCAAAGAGCTGCTGCAGAAAGTCTCCAACTGTTCTAAGTATCTTTTCCCATTCTTTATGTTCTGGGATTTGCTGCTCATTTGCTGTCCTCTCTTTCCAGACCTAAGGAATCTTCTCTGGAGGTATTATTAAAGCGCTGTCTAAAACTATTGCTAATGTTAGAAAGGTGAAATAACAGTCAGATAACTCAAAGCAAATAGAACCAGCCCTGGGGAACAGCCATAAAGGACCAGGTGTAGCAGCTATTCCCACTAGGACACAGGAGCATATTTAAAGGACATGAATGACACCTGAATTTATGGTGGCTTCTTTCTAAGAGCTACTGATGCCTTTAATCCCCTCTTTGGTCACATACTGTCTAGCCATGAAATTAATATGCAGGAAAACTGTCTGTTAAAGTAATTAAAGAGAGACAGTGGTGTATACAGGAAAACAAATACTGATTTAAAATGATCATCATATAATTTGTTTCCCATGCAAAGAACCAAAAACCTAATTCACAATTGATTTAAACTTGCTTGTCTATGCTATATGGACAGATTACAAGAGATGAGACAAAGATGTCAATTGCAGAACGTAATGTGCTTTTCAGTTCATGATCTCTTTTATTAAATTGTTTTCAATCTCTTTCTCTTCATATCTTTTACAGTATATTTTTGTTTGGATTTTACTTTCAACATCAGTGTTCTCCATTGTGATTTAAAATCATTAAATATTTGTGTTCCTTTAATTTGTTAGAGATTTTTCTAAATCTGTTCCAGGAATTGGTATTGAGACATTTGTTTTTGCATTTGCTGTGCCAAGTAAAGCAGTGAACATTTTTTTTTCCTTAAGAAACATATATAGAGGGTTTTGATTCCATGAATGAAAATTAAAAACAACGATATCAACAAAAACTATGTGAAATTCAAATGAATGCTACAGCAGTATTTCACAGGTTTTTGTATTAAATATTTATTTAAACTAACTGCATAGTTTAGAAACCTTATTGGAAGTGCATTTATGTATTTTTTCATACTTAGAGATCTAATCTTCAAAGTAGCTTTACAGACCCCGAGGAGTAATTGAATATTTGCTTTAGGCTCATTTTGAAATCCTCACTTAAATTTATAGGGCCTGATGCCTCCATCATTTCATTTTTCTGCTGGCGCCATTCTATATTGTCAGAAAGGTTTAAAATGGAAGCAGCACTGTGGCTGTGCTGACCCATAAATTTACTCTTCTGTCATGAAGGTACATATTCAGCACTTAAACACATCACATTTTGTTGCAAATCTTTGCAGACTTTTGAATCAATGGCGCTATTTTTGTTCTGTGTGTACCATAGTGTATATTGTGTAAACTCCTCAAAGCCAATATGAAGTGGTAATAATTAGAAAAAGGGTAGAAGTACAAAAATACAATAAAAGCTGATAATAGTACTCACCACAAATCACCAATGTGTTCTGTTTGCTCTACCATCTTACGCAATCCTCCTTACTGCTTTCTACTGCAGCCTTCCCACTTATAAGGGATTTTACATTATTGCCAAAAGAATGTATTTTGGAGTCAAGGGTCTCTTTGTACTGTATTTGCATAGCCACTTCTATTTATAGAAAAACACAATTGATCCAAGGGCCCTCAAAAGAGCTCATATATTGTAGCACGCTAGGGAATGTCTTAAAAGTTATTTCCCCAACTATTGGCGTGACTTAAGCCACACAGTGTGGTTGCCTGCTCTGCTGTAGTCTGTGGGGCCTACGGAATTTCTTTAATTTCTGATTTTAGTGCAGAATAATAAGTTAAAAAAAAAAAAAAAGGCAGTGAGCAAGGACTGGAGGTCACAAATGAGAGCTATGTAAGATAGTGAAGAATGTGGGGTGAAAGTCTTGGCCCAATAATTACGCAATCACACCTATGAGATGCAGGCAGAAATAGTCTCACTTTGGTTGAGATTAGAAGTAATATAACTGCTTAGCATTCCTTGCAGAGAGTGGATTTAAATGGCTCAAACAGAATATCACAGAATCACAGGATGGCTGATGTTGGCAGAGACTTCTGGGTCCCAGTGATCCAAACCCTGCTAAAGCAGGGATACCCAGATCGGGGTGCCCAGGGCCACATCCAGGCAGCTTTTGGAGATCTACAAGAAGAGTCCACTGCCTCCCCCAGCAACCCTTTCCCAAGTTGCTATAGCCTTTGTGTGTTGATGCAAAACAAGGAGTTATCTTCTTAAGTCAGTTGTGGAATTTTCTGTATTATTCTGGGAATCCCAGCAAGGTACTGTGTTGAATTTTGTAGATGTAGTCAGTAAGATTGTTTAAAAACAGATATGTGGGAAATTTTAAAATTTGGAAATCTGTTGTTTATATTTGAATTTTTCATCCTGTGGTCAATCAGAGTTCTTTGAATTATTTGCAAGCTATTTCTAGTAAATGGTACTGTATTTCTGTACTCATAACTGCTTCAAAGTGTAATGAAATTAATTGAAACTCTACCATGCAGTTTGGGAAAAAACACTTAATTTTTGATTACAAGAGCATTAAGGCAGATTTTTGCAATCATTGCACTGAAAGTCATCTTATTTTCAAAGAGGGAGCAATGGCCAATGCTACATATTTGTGTAAGTAGCAGTAAACAATATACACAAAAATATCAGACCAAGAGTAAATACTTCATGATCCATAGTGATTTTCTCTCAGAGTTAGTGGCAAACTTGCCACCATGTGTCTATATAAGGATATTTTTTATTTCAATGGAAAATGCAGCATAAATGTAGATACTGAAGAAGAATTTTAGTACGAAAACTTTTCATCACAATTTTTAAATCCTTTCTTTTTGGGAAATTCCAGGAGCAAAATTCATTGCAACTTTTCCCATCCCGGACACCTATAATCCAGATGATGACAAAATCTACTTCTTTTTCCGAGAAATATCACAAGATAGTAGCACCTCTGACAAGACAATTCTTTCTCGAGTTGGGAGAGTTTGTAAGGTGAGAACTCAATCTTTCATTCTTTTTAAAATAATGTGCATTATTAAGAAAAGAGTTGGGTTTAAGCCATCCTGGCTGTGTGCATTTTAGAAAAGCTACTACGTTAATAAATGAAAACCCTGTGTCTAAATGATAGCGTATTGACCTTCGGATGTGCAAGAGTGACCTGCTTTGTTTCGTAAGCTTTCAATAAGGATTGACTTGTTGACATGTACACAATGCCAAGGTATTTGGATTTTTGTGAAAAGTGCTCAGTGAATGAAGGGGAATACAAACCTATCCCTTCAACATAGATCAGTACAGCACATTACTGAGAGCTGAGATCATTCATTTGTTTCTGAGCATTCCTGATAATCAGTTGGGGTGGGACTGGCAAAAAAAATACAGTTTCTGAGCTATATCCGCACCCACCTGGATGTTTCCTGCCCTGTGAAAAAGTGTGGTCTTTGACCTGCTTACTAGCAGGGTCCAGGAGCTGGCTCGTTTGCAGTGTAAAAAGACTTGTTTGGTTGGTGCCCAGTCTCCTTCAAAAGACAGCTCTCTTCATTTTCCCTTTTGTTATGTTGGTTTTGCTCCCTAAGATTTCTGTCCCTATGATACACAGAATGCTGATTTTCATTATGAGCTTCATTCATTTTGAAGGACCACCTCTGTTAAAGGCAGAAGCCTCTTCAAATTGTAATGAGAAGATAAACCAGTTCCTGTCATAGGAAAACAGTCAGTAAATAGTTTGTGGTTTAACAGCCTGCTGGTTTTGCTAATGTCTTCTTCCCATTATAGTGAAACGGTCTATTGACTTCTGTGATGGACATACTGTCTACCCTCTCCTTTATCCCATATTCCTGTAGGAAGACATGCAGTCAGGGTAGATGCTTCAATCATGTCCTTAAATCTCAGTAAACCAAGTACCCAGGAATTACTGGCAAAAGTCAGGAAAATGAGACTTAAATTTTTTCTTTTTTTTATTAAACATAAGCTTTGAGCAAATGTTTCTCATGTAATGAGCTAGATATTTACAACACCATCATAGTAATCACATAAGCAGGTACATTTATGTGATATTTTGTTCAGTTGTCCTCATTTACTTGCATTTTCTGAGCAAAATTATTTTACTGGCTGTGAAAATGACCTTTTCAAAGAGAAGCTTGAAAGCTTGTAAATAAACAGAAGAGTTTGTGATTTGCAGTAGGATACGTCTAAGAGAAAGGCATCCAGAAAGCTAATGGACACACACTTAAAACAGAAAGTAGACACGTGTGCACAAATATGTAAATCTATGGCTGTTCTGCAGACTGGCAAACTCCTGTCAATCGAAATTTCAGTGACCAGAGCCATTTCACACTTCTGTCCTTGACCTATCGTGTTAAGAAAACAAAAATACTCATTCATAAATCAGTTCTCTAGTAGGGTTTTAGGCAGATGAAATAATGGATAATCTTTAGTTGGATATTTCACTGCAGTGTGATTAATGGCAGAATAGAAATGCAAACACATATGATTTGCTGCTAGACATGGCATTTGCTGATAATGAGAGAGCACTTAATCCATTAAGAAAAATTAGTAGACAACAACTTTCAAGAGAAGGCACATGGGAGATTGTATTAAACAAAGATATGTTAGTTAAAGTTCTGTATCCTTTACCTAGAGAAAAAGCAGATATGGTGTCATAATAAAAGCAGAAGTATTGTAAGGAAATCTTAATGGCACTGTGTACCTTGAATTAAATTGAATTTGTAGAGTGATCATGTTAAATAGAAATGAATCGTCTTGAGTTTTATTTTTAATAGTCAAGACAAAATAATAGAAAGTGGTAAGTAAGGTTATTTATTATTATTAATGCCCTATTTACATTGTCTTCTTTATTTATTGAGTACTTCCTTGGGAATGAAAAATTCTACTGAAAATTTAGACACCTGCATTTTTTTACATTTCTCTTGATTACTTTGCAAATAATGCAAATTATTATAGTGCAAATAAAGTTTTAATTTCAATATAAATTAAAATATGCAACTAAATTGCTTGCAGACTGAGATTTTTTTAGATCTGTGGTCTGCTGTGACACCTCTGCTATTCTTAATTCTCTCAAGTAGAGAATTGATGTATTTGCTTACAATGACAGATGACAATTTCTACTTGGCATGTCTCATACATGTGACCCGTGCTGCAAAATGTTACACCCTCTTTCCCTTGCAAGCATAGAATAACAGTGAAGGATAGAAAACCAGCAACTTTTAAAACAATTGGCGTAGTGTAACCCCAATTTCTTTCTACCAGAGCTCAATTGCTTTCTACCTCATGTGCCTTAGGGGTCCTGTACATTTATGCCAGAGTTACAAGCTGAAATTAGAATAAACTTTGTTTTTAATAAGGAGGTTGGTCAGAGCAGCCTATTCTTTGGCTAATTTTCAGTGACTCAACAATATGGTCTCTCACTGATCCTTCCCCTTAGGGAAAATCTTCTTTGGAAAGCAGTCCCTTTTCCCAGCTACTTAGAGTCTCAGAAGATTTCAGCACTTTCACTTGTAGCTCTTTGCCCAGGGTCCCACAGCTGTCACTTGTCCTGTTCGTAAGACCACGCTTATACTTACTGTCTCAAAACATATGTTGTAATAACACAGCCACTGTAGCACTAAATAGTACTAGCTTAGATTTATGTCATCTGTGTTCTATGCATCACCAGGGGATATCAGTATGAAATGGGAGACAGTACTTTCAACAGTGATGTTAAGAGCCAGTTGTGTAATTTATCATGGCAAATGGCATTTCCATTTTTGTTTTGACAGAGGTGGAAAATGTATAATTGACTTGTCTATAACCTGTTACTGCTTATAGCAAGTTCCTTCTTATAGCAAGTGCTATGTGTTGGGATATTTTCTTTCTTTTCAAGCAAGGTCAAAAGTGAAGAGAGAAAATGACTACTAAAAATTTGCCAATGGTGTGCATCTGCTTTTTGAAACATAAATAGATACACAGGTACATATAACATACATTATTTTGAACAGCTTCTTAAGAGCATGAGCCCATCAATTTCCATTGCTAGAATCATGATTGCAAGCTGTTACATCTACATTTTCTTGATGCCCATACTGCTGAACAAGCTTACATAAGCTAACGACATGTCACAGTCATTACATGCACAGAGACATCTTTTGAAAAGAGAATGTAGCATCTATGCACTGTGTCCTCCACTGTCAAACAACATCAGCTATACTTTAGTATGCATGACTAACAAAAAATGATGACAGTATTGTAATTGTATTTAAGGGCAACATCATATATACATAAAAAGAGATTATTGGATTTTTTTTTTTTTAATGACATACATTTTTTTCATAGTTGAAACCTCATTCTGTTGGAATGGAGTGGAATACTAGCCAAAAGCAGTAGTCTCTCTGCTACAGTGTGAGAATCCTGTTTATTATTATAGCTCTGTATTTGCTGAACTACAGTCTTCTCTATAACAGTTTTGGTGATGTATTGAAAAAGTTACTGCATACAGTCTCAGAGTCTGATTTCCAAGAGACCTCAACTGCCAAGAAATCAGCCTGCAGCCCCTGATGTGTTCCCATGTTTCTCAAAGCGTTCAGCATCCAGAAGCGTCCTTTGTTCTAGTGGGAACAAATGAGCTCTTTGTCTTTTTTTTTTTCTTCACCCCCTCATTCCACCCTCTCATATACCAAACTGTACCTGGGGATGAGAATATAGCAATTAGGCGCAGCCCTCTTGGTTAAACTGTGTTTTCTAAAGGCACTGGAATGTAATCATTTTAAGCACTCCTGAGTCGAGAGTGCAGGACACACCCTGCATTCCACCTTAGAGTAATGTGATTTATTTCCAAAGCCATGAACATGAGCAGAGTTCAAGGCTACGACCTTGCCTCTTGTCTGGTGCTTGAAGGCAATTTGTATTCCTAGAGTGGCAGCAGGGAGTTACTCTGCTGCATGTCTGAATGCAGGGTCTCCGGTGGGCTATGCTGTGGGACTGCTGGTGTGTAAAAGTAGGGCGGTGTTTTTCTTGTCCTGGAAATAGTCTAGCCATGCCTTTGCTGTGACTGGAGGTAACTGGCTCATTAACATTCTTTGTATTTCTATATCGTGTAATGCATCACTGTGCAGATAATTGATCTCTCTCCAAAAAGCATTTGAGTTGTCCGCATAGTATAGCGCTTTACTGTTCAGTAATATTAGCTTGGGTACCGGAAGCAAAATAGCCATGTTAACATGTTCTCAGCAGGGCTAATTAGTCTGGGCTCAGTGCCATGCTCGTGCAGCTATCCTGCTTCCAGTTCTGGAGGCAACTCATTCCAGACGAGATTTAACTTACTGCCTGTTACATGCTTACATACTTCCTTCATCACCGTAATAGTGCCTAGCCACAATCCTAACCATGGTTGGTTTTAATTTATATATATATATAAATATATATATATATATATTTATATATAAAATCATGATTAAAACCATTTAGAAAATGTAATCCCTAAGAAAATTTAGGCCCTTGTTTGCCAACTGGGCATCTTTGCAGCTGTGGATCCTTCATCAGCCAGCTCCTCTTTGACTCCTAAGCTTGGCAATTTAATATTACATGCTGCCTGAAAGTTTTCAAATGTTGTAGAAAAGCAGATGCTCATCGAGATGATTTCATTTTGAGGTCTGATGTGTTGGAAACAGCCCAGATCCATACAGTATTTGTTTCTAGCTGTGATGAATTATGAGATGTAACAGCAAGCTTTGTCAGGTCTTTTGGCCTTGGGTGTGTCTCAACATTGTAATTGTTTTTTTTTTTTTTTTTTTTTGGGGGGGGGGGGGGGGGAAGAGTGGGAATTATGATTTACAGATGAAGCAAAATATGTAAGCTGTGCTTACATATGAAGAGGTGTGACTGAATTTTACTGAGCCTTAGGGAAAACGAAAAAGAAATTGCAGTATCAAGATAGAACTTTAGAAACTGGATTATGGACATGCAGCTGCACAACCTGTGAAGCAAACTCTAGAAACAAA